AAAGTTTGCCTCATTTTATTCATTCTTAAGTAAAACGATATTTTTTGTTGTACTGTATTAAAACTACTAGTTTTCTTGTGCTAAATTGCAAAGATAGTTACATGTTTAGCGGAGAACTGAATAACTGTGGAGAGGCACATGGAAATAGAACATTTTCAAGGGGAACATGCTATATTTAAGGAATGTCTTTATAAAATGAGACTTCAGACTTAGTTCAGCATATATACCGAGCCAGGGTGCTCCCCTGCATGTACTAACGTCAAGTACATATGTATACACATTCAAGAATTGTACAAGATATTTGTGTACCTAAAATTGATAGATTAGAATAATAGATTAAAGTGCACATCATTTTAAATACGCTGTAACATTTAATTTGCTTTTACAAAATACATTTCGTTAGGTGTGGAACTGACCATATTCTGCTTTCATATTCATGTAGATATTTTACTGTTTTAAACGGCCACTGCTTTATGTTAATGAAAACCTGCACACAAATAGACATCAATTTGACTGCCTCCTTCCAAAAGTGGATCCTCTTAGAGGCATTCATCTAATAAAAAAGTTTAGATTTCAGATCATTGAAGTATTTTGTTTCTTTTCATATTCAAATACATGGATCTGGCTCTTTTTGTCTCTTAAGCAACACATGAATCGCAGAGATTGAAATTGTACTTGAATAAGAAATTTCAATAAGTTCCATTGATTTCAATTGACTTTTACCAACCTAAATGAAAGATCATATCTCCTGCATTTAGGCACTTGAAAATGAGAATGTATTTTATATCAGTTAAATTTTCTTAAGGGTATTTTCAATCTATAACAATATCTAGCCATGAAACTCTATTGAGTATCACATACTCTACTTTTTCTGGGAGATTTCCAGAGGACAGTGTTTGTTTTCAAATACACTACAAATATTGTGGAAGAAAGTGAGCTAGTATTTCATATTATATAGAGAAACAGAATACAAATGTATTGGAAAAAAACATTTGAAAAATCATGCGAAGTGCAGTATATCTTAGAACAACTGTGTTACTTTACATTCCTTATACACTGAAACAAACACAATATTAATTTCTTCATCTTCAACATTTGTATGTATACTGAAAAAATAACACGAGCTCAAGCTTTGTAAGGTAGAAGCTGATCTTTTCTCTGATATTTTCCTTTCCCAAAATATAACAAATGTCACTAGGTACAATGTGACACATCATGCTATAAAGCAGCCATGAAGATAAGATGTCTAAAATAATGCATTTCCAACATTGTTTTCTGTAAAGATCCCTCACTTTCCCTGCAACATGGGGTTTAAAGACACACTGATTTCACCATGACAATAAATATACAAAGCTTAGTGATTATCTCTTGGAGATAGTTACATAATTAATAACTCCCAGTTATTAATTAATTTTATTTTTAATTCATTTTAATTAATGAACTCCCAGTGCTTGGCATGATGTTATGATGTGGAATACTGATAACAAAAAATCATAAAACCATGGCATATATAATAGATTATGGTAAGAATAGTATTAGCATTTAAGAAAGAAAACATGTACAAAGTGAATAAAAAGCTCAAAGGATTGTAAGATATCATTACACTGCCTTAATGTGAAAAATATTGTGAAAAATTAAGTAATATGTATTTTTTCCCCAGTGTTTAAATATAGCAAAAGACTTCAGAACAAGTTGTAAATAATCATTGGTACAATTAATTTCATCATACTAAATACTCACGGGATGTTATGGCTGCAGTTGGGAACACCTGGCTACAAAATTGAAGTTTGCTCCTTATACAATCATCATCATTTCTTACATAGGATTTCAAACAGCCTCGTCACGTATTTATTGTTTACTCTAGCATATGATTTTGCTATCCACCTTAGCATAAAAAAAAAAAAAATGCAAGGAGCTTCTACATTCATTTTTAATATGAAACAATTTTTACAAAATTCTGAATGTTTCTACTATACTGTAGATGCTTAATGCATCCTTCTGAGTGAAAGTTCTGCGTAATTTTATAGCTCACACAGAAGCAGTCATTCAGTTTTGTCTTCACTCTGAAAGGAAGTTATTATCTCCTTCATAAGCATAGTATGCTTCTTAAGTGCTGAATTTTTGTCTCCATTTTATATACGGATTCAAAATGTAATTATAGTGCTCCACAGTGTGCATATGGGTTCACACAGATCTTGAAGGACACAAAACATATTTTAGACTGTATTAGCTGAAGAAGAGCACTGCTGTAATTTTTTGTTCATCGAACAGCTTTTACCATCCCTGAAATGCTTACCCCAGATAGGTAGAGCTAACACTGTATGAAGAACCCTGATGGAGCCATTTCCCGGTTTCTTTTAAACATTAATCTTCACAGTTTCAAAGTTCCACTGACACAGTGTTTTATTGAAATTTTCAGATTTTTTTAAAAACAAAACTGGTTTAAAAATAAAAATAAAAAAAAGCAACTAAAAACCTGAAATTCTAAAATATGAAATGCAAAATTGACTGGAAACCTGCTGAAATGTCCTACTGCTAAGAAATGTGCAAGAAATGAGACATTAAACTTCTGTGTTTCTCTACTAAGACACATTTTTAGGACTAAACAACTCTTACTGCTTGTTCTGATGGGGTATACTACTACTATCCTCATTCTTAAATGTATAGCATGTTTTTAATTTCAGGAGATACTTTTGAAACAGAGCAAAGAGGTAGCATTTTGACACTGTGTGTGCAATAACAATTCAGGGCATTTATAAATAAATATGTGAGTAGCTGTTTCTTTTGGGGATCTCTAATTCTCACAATGCTTTGAAATATATAACTTGAGAGATTTGCGTGTATTTAAGTAATTGTTTAACTACATGTATGCACAGTGCTTTCATTTGAGAGGAATTACATCATCCTGTTGCCTATGTTTTTTTTTTTTTTTGTATGGAATAGTATTGCCTTATTAATACAATAGAGTCAAATTCAGTGGAATTACTGGAGTGGAAAATTCAGTGTCAGCCAGAGAAATAATCTATTTCTTCTTTTTTTTTTTTTTTTTTTTGGCTTCAGTGTACACTGAAATTAGTGTTTTTGGTTACAGATGTGTCACAGAGCATATTAAAAAAACAAGTCTGATGAAACTTTTTCTCTGCCTTCCAAAATAAACAATAACCTGTCAGCAAACTCAGACCTTGTAGTCAGGCATTTTGTTGTCAAGGGAATCAGTGCCTGTTCCTTGTTTTTCTGCCCAAATTAGCCGTGTTTCTGGCACAAATCCCTGCACAACTCTCCAGTTCCTCAAGGGTTAGGCACAGTTCACATTATTTAACAGTTTTTACATGTAACTTCCTCTAGCTTACAGTGGATACATCAAAGCCATGGCAGAGACACTGACTAAAAGGGGTATGTTTTAGCCAGGAAATTGAATTTTGGAGTGGCCAATGATTTTAACACGTCTCTGAGACACAAGTTTTACTGACACACTAAGAAATCAGACAGGGCATTATAAACATGTTCTTACTACAGGCCTTCCCCACTCCTTTATCCTTACAATTTCAAACCGATGAAGTCCTATTACTGGCTGTCATGTCACTAGGTTTAAAATTATTTACAGTTAAGAAAAAATGCAATTTTCTCATGAAATCATAATTTCACCATGTTAACTTTTTACTTGTATAAACTTGTATTTACATTGTAATTTTTTATTCAAATAATTTTTAGAAAGCAATTTTTAAAAAGGAGAAACATAATTTTTGTAGCTTCAAGATCACTGAATATGTTACAAACTCAAGTGTGGTCTGATAGTGACTTAATAACTTGAGTGATTGGAATCTGAAAAAAAAAAACAACCAAAAAACCTGAAAGCTAGGTATAACAGTAACATTGTGCTAGAGTGTTTTTCTAATATCAAATCAAACCCAGAAAAGGATGTGCTATGGATAAACTCTTTTCCATTTTTTTTTTCTTGTATATTCTGTGATCCTGACAGTAACTTCAAACTGCTTCTTCATATGAATGACTGGACACAAATGTGATGTCTGCACCAGCATGTCTTCGATATGATTTTACTGATTCCACGTAGATAGCACTGACATGTAAACAGACATTTTCATGTGATCTCATCCTCCATAACTGATCAATAAGTCTGTGGAAAAAAAGGCGTCCGATAGAGCATCTGTCCAACAGTATTTAACATCTTTGAAAAGCTGGACAGGAGCCAGCAGTGTGCTCTTGCAGTCTGGAAGGCCAAATGCATCCAGAGCTGCATCCACAGAGGGGTGGCCAGCAGGGCGAGGGAGGTGATTATCCCCCTCTACTCTCCCCTTACGAGGCCCCATCTGGATTACTGAGTCCAGGCCTGTGGCACCCAGCACAGGAAGGATGTGGAACTCTTGGAGTGGGTCCAGTGAAGATGATTACAGAGCTGGAGCACCTCTCCTATGAAGAAAGTTTGAGAGTGGTGAGGCATTGGAACATGTTGCCCAGATCAACCCTGTGGATGCCCCATACTTGGAGGTGTTCAAGGCCAGGTGTTATGGGACTCTGGGTGGCTTGCTCTGGTGGGGAATGGCCCTGCCCACATCAGGGGGTTGGAACTAGATGACCTATAAGGACTCTTCCAGCCTAACCCATTCTATGCCTACATGATCTTCAGCAAAGACCAAACCAAGGGTGCAGAATGCAAGCCACAAATGACGTCAAACCTGGGGGGATAGCAGATACTTTGGAGTGCTAGTTTTCTTTTGGAAGAACCTGGTGAGCCAGAGAATGGACAACAGTTATCAAATTAATAAATTTCAACAAAGGCACAACCAAAATCAAGCTGAATGCAATTCTGTAGAAAAAGATGGGTAAAGGAAGGTAATTTGTCCCCTCTACTCAATACTCATGGGAAAGCACTTGAAACATGCTGTCCAGTTTGGAACATCCCAGTGCATGAGAGGGATGGCCAAGCTGGATCAAGTCCAGTGGAAGACCAGGGACTTTGCACCTTATTTTTTCAGCTTGGAGAAGACAGGGAGAAACTCTAATTTGTCATCTACAATTATGCATGTTTGGTTAGAGTGAAGAGTCTTCTCAAGGGTTGGTGAGAGGACAAAGGGAAATGGTTGCAAGCTACATCAAGGGAAATCCCAGCTATGACTGATGAGCTGCTGAATTGTGTCCTTGGAAATCTCAAAACATACCTAGACAAGAAATGATACGCCCTGCCTTGAGAGGATCCCAAGATTTTTCTTCAACTTAATTTGCTCTATGACTATGGGTCATGAACGTAAATGGTAAAAGCATATCATACTCCAGCTAACAATATGTCCTCAAAGTGCTGAGGCCCTCCCACTTTTTATTTGTGATTTGTATTACACACTTTGTACTGATATAAATGTATCCTTCCAAAATTTACCATTTTAGAGTTACATTGTATCAAACCTCCATTAAAACTTTTAAAGGATTGCTGTTTTAAGCACTTATATGTTGCTTGGATTTTCTTTATGGAACATAAGATTTTAAAATATATATTGATATTGTACATTTAAAACTGTATTTCCATCTCAGACTCAACAAAGTTAACAAAACACACACACACAACACACATGCAGCAGCTAAAGAAAAGCTTTCCTCAGACAAATTTTCATTTTGATAGAACTTCACACAGGCCATAAACAAAACCTTATATAGTGTACACAAAAGTTCTGTGTGTGCAGTAAGGCAGGCATACAAAGCGGTAAAAAGTACATCATCATTCACCACGTTACATAAAAAGATAGCTGAACAGATAAAATCAGTGTTGCCTCTCTAAAGCAATTGTCTCAAATTGTACGTGGGTTATTTCAACTCCAAGTCAGATCCCATCTTTGCTTTAAAAAGGCAAAAGACATTGTCAAAACAACCTGAACGGAGAATGAAACTTTTCCTCTCTGAAACTGTAGTACCACCACAGTGTTCATTATCTGTAAGTCAGAAAATTTAGCCGTCTCTTTGCTTCTATGGAGTAAGACGTGAGAAAGTTCAGCATTTTATCCATATCAACGAATACTTCTTGTATATTACATTTGAATGCTTATACACATGATGCTTAATGAATAGGAACACACACAAATCATCACCGTTGTTTTGTTTCTGAATTATCTTTCAAAGGTCAGGAGCTTCATTTGGCAAAGGTACAATACAAAGGACCAGCCTGGTTTTCCTTCATACCAGTTTCATGAATGTTTGCTACAAATGCAACTTCATTACCTTAAATACCTATTAGCTTTATCAAGAAAAAGCTGTGATAAAGCTCATTGTGCTTTGTTTTCCAGAAGTTTCATTCATTCATACAGCTGAAGAGCCAGCAAACAGGACTTTCTACAGTTCACACATGTGTACTGTTGGTAGATGGTGGTGTATCTATCCGACTCTTATTTTCTTTAGCATCATTCAGAGGTGATTCGTTACCTATCTGGCATTTGAAAACTTGTTTGTAGGCCTTTCTAAAATTTTCAGAGAGAAATGCATATATAATTGGGTTTACAGAAGAATTGCTGTAAGCCAGGCAGTGTGCAGCTACCCTGAAGAGAAATGAGGCTTGAGTCAGTGGGAAAACTCCAAATTCAGCCCAGAGATGAATCACATGATGCGGAAGCCAGGAGATGCCAAAAACCACTACCACCACCAACACAGTCTGTGCTGTCTGAGACAGGGAAAGGAAAACACAGATGTCTTATGAGTATTAAAAACAAGCTTATTATATCATTATCTGTAATAATAATAATAATAATAATAATGATGATGATAAAAAGTAGACAGATAGAATACACTTCTGAATATTTATTAATATTTTAATTCATTACCTCCGTGGACTTTGTTCTGTAGTGTTGCAAGAAGAACATGAGCTTGCACAGTAGAAGAGAAACTCTTCTACTCTTTTCTCAAAGGCAAAGAATGATGTTCCTCACTCCCTAAACAAAGTGCTAACCTCTTCTGGGACTCAGGACTGATGCAATAAATTAATAACATAGGTCTCTGGGAAATCTCATCCAGATCTAATGAATCATGTTTTAATACAGTACACAGGATTTCTGACCAGATTTCAAGGGATATCTATTGCACATGGAGGCATGTAGTGAAAGAGATAAGAGCAATGAGATTAACCCTTTGCTCAAGAGTCTAAAGGCAGGAGCAGATTTTGCTGTGTTTTTTAAAGTCTACTCTTTAAGCATAAAACGTCCATTGGAATCATCCAACAATATTCTGGGATACAACTAGGAAAAAAAAAAAAGAAAAAGAACAAGATTTCTGGTAACTATACATTGAATGTAAGGAGTGAAATAATCTTCATTCTACCTCCTGACTCCTTTTTCAGTATTCTTACAAGAAAAGGCCATTAAGTTTTTTAGATCCCCTCTGAGAGTTGGAGTATCAGTCACCAGATCAATCACCTTTTGGTTACTGCAGGTATTTTTCCAGGCACGGTGGAGTTTTTTTGACAATGTTTTCTTTAGTTTTAACTTTCTTCCAAAACTGCAATTACTGCTTTGCAGGCACTGAACAAAATGCATTTCTCTAGCAAGTGCCACTTTTCCATTGAGAGCCTAGTAGTAATTCCAATGCATATTATGTTACGGACCATTATGATTACTCTATTAACACTTTACAACATAATTCTTCAGATAATTTTAGCTCTTACTCACAGGCAGAACTAACTGATCAAGTGATATATGCTGCAGCGCAGACTTTTTGCTGATTTATTGATCCTGGTTCATACTTTCTTGAATTGATTGACGCTCAGTAATAATTCACTAACTTGGTTAATTTTCATGTGCCTTAATTTGTAGAAACTTGCAGGGAAAAGTTTAATTTCTGCAGCAATAGCCTGAAATAACTTACGACAAATGTTGTTTCTGGCTACCAAAATTTCTACTAAATATAATTTTTTCAGTCCCAAGGGTTCAAATTTATTCACAAGCCTTTTTTTCTATTTAACCCTATTAAGATTAATTCAGTTGATGCTAAAGCAGCGAGACAAATATTTCCTCTTTCAGCTCTCATAAGGAAAGCTGTCTTCCTCGTGCTAGCAAGGAAGCATAAATAAAATAAAGAACAATTGATTCTCTGATTCCTTTAGTGCATTAATATTCCAGCTGCAAACGTGCTGTCTGGTTATTGCACACACGGTTAATTCTTAAAAGATGTGTTACCTCAGTTTGTCCTTTTGACACCAGGAAAATCACTGACTTTCAATAGACTGTATAAATGCAACTGAAAGCTGAGGTTGACCATGTATCTCTTGTAACTATTATACTAAGGTATTTCATATCTGCAAAGTAAGTAATTTTTCGTAATGGTCCTCACAGCATCTGTCTTATCCCATTATTCATCCTAAGACTCACTTCAGAGCTTACCTTTCCAGAATCATCACTATAATTTGCAACCAAGGTAACACTAAAGGGCAGCTCTTTTTTAAGTAATGGTATCACGCTTAGGGTTTTTCATCAGCAAATAAAAAAAACTTGAAATTCACGTTGATGTTTCCTGGCCAAAAAGCATAAAGAACAGCATTTAGGCACATTTATATTTCAAATTCACTTTTTAAATTCACACATTATGAATTAAGATTCTGCTACTAAGAATCAATTTTGTAGGTTTAAGCAAACTTGACTGAACGATATCCATGGGCTTTGAAGGGATATACCTACAAGTACTCAGGGGCCTGGCAGAAGTGATTGCCAAGCTGCTCTCTATGATCTTTGAAAGATGATGGAGAATGAGAGAGGTTTTTGAGAGCTAGAAGAAAACCCAATGTCACTGCAGTCTTCAAAAAGGGCTTGATGGAGGACCCAGAAAATTATAGGCCAGTCAACCTCAACTCTGTCCCCAGGAAGATGATGGAACATCTTCTTCTGGATGTCTTCTCCAAGAAAATGGAAGAGAAAAAGGTTATAAGGATTAGCCAGCATGGATTCACCAAGTGAAAATCATGCTAGACCGATCTGGTAGCCTCTAAGAACTCATGACTGACTGGATAGGTGTGGGGATAGCAGTGCACGTTGTGTACCTTGACTTCAGCAAGGCGTTTGACGCTGCCTCCTGTAATATCTTCATAGGTAAACTCAGAAAGTGTGGGACAATCAAGTAGATGGTGAGGTGAATTGAGAACTGGCTGACAGGCAGAGCTTAGAGGGTTGTGATCAGCAGTACAGAGTCTAATTGGAGGCCTGTAGATAGTGATGTTTTCCAGGTCTGGTCTTGTTCAACATTTTTATGAGTGACCTGGATGAAGAGAAAGAGTGCATCCTCATCAAGTTTGCTGGTAATACAAAGCTGTGAGGTGTGACTGACTCACCAGAAAGCTGTGCTGCCATTCAGTGAAACCTGGACAGGATGGAAACCAGGTAAGGTTCAACAAGGGCAAGTGTAGAGTCCTAAATGTGGGGAGGAATAACCTCCTGCATCAGTATAGGTTAGAGGCCGACCTGCTGGGAAGAAACTCTGTGGAGAAGGACTTGAGTGTCTTGGTGGGCAACAGGTTGGCCATGAGCCAGCAGTGTGCCCTTGTAGCCAAGGAGGAGAATGGTATCCTGGGTGCTTTAAAAAGAGCATAGCTAGCCAGAAGAGGGAGGTGATATTCCCCTTATACCCTACCTTAGTGAGGACACATCTGGACTGCTGTGTCAAGTTCTGGGCTCTCCAGTTCAAGAAAAGTGGGAACTTCTAGAGAGAGCCTCGCAGAGGGCTGCAAAAACTATTAGGGGCCTGGAACATTTCCTATTTGAGGAAGGGCTAAGAGAGCTGGGTCTGTTCAGCCTGGAGGAGAGAAGACTAAGGAGGGATCTTATCAATGCTTATAAAAATCTAATGGATAGAAGCCAAGCGGATGGGGCCAGGTTCTTTTCAGTGGTGCCCAGCAATAGGAGAAGGGGCAATGGGCACAAATTGGAACTCTGGAAATTCCATAAGAACATGAGGTAAAACTTCTTCACTTGGAGAGTGACAGAGCATGGAACAGGCTGCCCAGAGAGGTTGTGGAGTCCCCAAAGGTCCCTTCCTACCCATATGATTCGGTGATTCTGTGATACTAAAATTTTATAAAGCTCTGAATAAAGCTGTAGAACTCGGCCTTAAACGCATTATTCTTAACAAAACTGCAAGGAAAAGAGAAACAGTAACCAGAAAGATAAATACTAATGAAAACAGCATTGTTTTGAAATCGTGAGCTAAGTAAGGCCTTGGGATCAGAAAGTTCTAAGTAAAAAAATTTTCCACTTCATTTTGTTTGCCTTTCCTTTACTAAACCCTGAGACACCTGAATAGTCTTGAACATACATATAATGCTTTCCCCTGAAACTAAGAAAGCAAGTTCATAGCTAGATATGATTTTTATTTGCATAAAGGGCTTGTACCTAGAAGAGATGCAGATATCTCTAGTTTGAAAATAACATACATAAAAGCAGGGATGGCAACATAGAGAATGCCTTCTGAAACAACACCTTTGGCCTTGATGAGATTAAGAGCAAATTATTTATGTTAAGTATTTTACTGCATCAAAGACATATTGCTTTTAATTTACAAATTGAGATCTGTTGACTAAGATATATATATTTTTTAAATAGAGAATGCATAAGTAATAGATTATTTATTCCCCGTTGTGCCCATGTATATCTCATTTACATTGCAGACAGTCTGCATGCCCATATGGTAATAGCAATCAGATCAAACAAAGAGCTATAGCCTAAGGCTTGTTTCTGACTCCACATTCGTAAACTGAGAAGTTAGTCAAATTATTACTGTGGTCAAATCTGCTCAAAAATCAGAACCGTATTATATTATCTGACAAAATATCTACATAAACACATCTTTCAAATATTGCTCTAAATTGCAAAGCTAATACTGTGCTTCAAAGACCCTTCACAATTTTACTTGTAGGCAGTATATAACTGAAGTCTTGAACATAGAAGAAAAAATGTTTTATGGAAAATCATAAAATCACAAAAGTCTCTTTTTAGACTACTATCAGGAATTGTAATGAATCTCATTTGGAAGTCTTGTCATATAACCTAGGAATCCTTCATAAACTGCTAAAAATATTCAGTTAGTTAGTTAGAAAAGAAAAAAAGAGAGAGAGAGAGAGAGAAAGAAAGAGAGAGAGAGATGTACAATTTAGGGAAAATAATTCTAGTGAGGGAAAAGAAACATTTACATTAGAGAGAGGTAGTCTCTCCATGACTGAATTTCACATGCTCCAGTGTTCAAAATATGGGGATTTCAAGTAATGGCTTGACCACTGTGATGGAAAATCCTGATCAGGGAAGACTCTTATCCTGCAGAGGCACTGAATATATCATCAAATATTCCATTTCAAATATTTTTCTCCATTACGTCTTTGGCAACAAGCAACAGAATAGCAAATCATCTTACCCATAAAACTACAATATAAGCAAATAGGAATTGGTAATGAAAGCAATCTACCTTTTTCTTTGATGCTTCTGACTTCTTTGATATATTTCTCAGCTTTTTATGCAGATGATTAAGAACCTGAAAAGATCAATTTGCAACTTGTATTTCACCATTTTCTAAAATTCAAAACCATTTTGTTAGAGTACGATCTCCAGGACAGCATGAGTTGCTTACAAACATTAATGATCCATTTAAACATTTTAGAAATTCATATTATAAAATCCAAAGGAATTACATATCTACATCTGTAGTTAACCAGCAAATAGGAATTACATATTACAATTGAATTCTTCTATCAAAATACAGTTGCATTACATAACAAATACATACTACAATCAAATGAGCCAATAAATTGAAACCTTCCCTACAGCTAGAATTAGCCATTATTCTTTATAAAAATGTCAACGCTTGTTAATTTAGAATGACCTTTACTGCATGTAACATAAGAAGTGTATGTTTTGAGTCAGAGCTTTTCTGAGTCACCTGCATAATTTGCTTTCTTCAGATGGATGTTTAGTTAATATAATCAGGATGTTGGCACTATGTGATCTTTGAAAGATGCTTAGGCTCTTACAGAGAATTTATACTAAGATGTATCTCCCATGAGACATGACCTTTATGAACAATTTGATGATACTTGCCATGTAGCTTTCATAAGTAGTTTTTTAATATACCTCAAAATGATTCATCAAGTGAGCGCAGATTTTCACGTAAGAGTTTGGACAGTGGGTGCATAGAGGAACATCCCTACTTTATCTTCAGTCATTATTAACTGAAGGTAAAATATTCATATAGTGTGATTTGTGGGTATACAGGGAAGCAGGGTATATGTTCTTCAGCTGAATGTGTTTAACATGATAAATCATACCAAATTAAAAAATGGAAATACTTAAGTATATTCAAGGGTTTAATTATAATACGGTAAGAATGTGTTTATCTATTTATTAAAACTATTTATATTTTATATATAATTAGTTAATAGTTAATACATAATATAATATATATATAATATTATATAATATATATAATATATAATATATAATATATAATATATAATATATAATATATAATA